CTCGGGATGCTTCGATCTCAAGTGCCCATCCTACTCACGCGTCATCAAGGCGGCCAACGGAGGGCCAGAACTTTCTCTTGCGAGTTGCTCGCGAAGGGTACACCGCCAGCTGACGAGAATAAGGCCTGTCCCACTCTCCATCGCTCAAGCACTCGACTGGATGAGGGGCATTCTTCAAAGAGTTGTTGGTTGGATCATCGCCTTGCTTTCCGTCTGCAATGTCTTGGATCTCGCCGCGAATGGAGATCATGGCGTCGCAAAATCTGTCCAGCTCGGCAAGCGACTCTGACTCTGTTGGCTCGATCTACAAATCGACCAGGGAACGTCAGCCATAGTTTCTGGCCACGGATAGGCCAGCTGGATGCGTCTCACCAGAAGACCAGTGCTGATGGGCCATGAGCAAGTTGGAGAGTGGAACTAAGGCAGAAGGACGTTGGAAATCAGATTTCTGGCAAACAATGTGATGCCGACACCTCGATACTTACGCCGTAATCATGCAAACGTTTGGCAACGTCGCTGACTGTAATCTTGTGCGCTCCAAACTCGGCAAGGTCGAGCAAGAATTCGTGAGCGCAACGGCCGTTTCCATTGACATATCGAAGCTTGTAGTGTGGTGCGAGGCGCTTTGCCATGTAGTTCGCAGACAGCAAAGAGACGGTGGAGCTCTTGCGCAAGCCTTGCCAGCCCAACATCTTTATATAAGCCCAAGCAATGGTCAAGATGCTTGCGCTGCCCCATGGCGCAGCAGAGATCGCTTCGATTGCCTTCTCTCCTCCAGCTCGACTGTCCAGAGGGTGACCGGGGAGGTATGGCGCCAAGTGAGCAGCACAACCGATAGGTCCAACGCCTGGTCCGCCGCCACCGTGAGGAATAGAAAAGGTCTTGTGCAAGTTGAGATGGGTGACGTCAGCACCGATCACACCTGGGCTCGTCAGTCCGACCTGAGCTTGCATGTTTGCGCCGTCCATGTAGACCTGACCACCGTTTGCTGGACCGAGGAGAAGATCGTTCCTGGTCAGCTTTGCTACAGTCAGATCATGCGCTCGTATTGACTCACCATGAATGAGCTCGCACGCCTCCCGCACACCCTCTTCGTACACTCCATGGGTGCTCGGATAAGTTACCATAAATGCAGCTAGAGAATCTTTGTACTTCTCCGCTTTCTCGCGCAGATCTGCAAGATCGAGGTTGCCGTCCGCCTGGCTCTTGACAGCAACAACTCGCATTCCAGCCATGACAGCACTAGCCGGATTCGTGCCGTGCGCAGAGGTGGGGACGAGACAGATGTCCCTGTGACCCTGGCCATTGGCGTCGAGATACGCTCTGATGACACTGAGGCCTGCAAACTCCCCTTGAGCGCCCGAATTGGGTTGCAGCGACACTGCAGGGAAGCCAGTGATCTTGCAAAGGTCGGACTC